GATAGGACCCCCGTGAAATTCAAGTGTGTAGTTGGAAATTCGAGTATAGGTTAGGGGGGCATTTGATCATTTTCTCATTGTTTATATACAACTTTGAAATTATTTTAGGTTTAATAGTGGGGTTTTTTTAAGTTGGGAAAAAATTATTTTATTTTAAAATGCCTATTCTTGAATAAAATAATAATAGGCTTAAGTCATACATGGCTCCTTAAAGTTGTCCGCATATTTCACTTAGACATCTCAATTTAGCCTTGTTGAACACTTAAATCTTAACAAATTTATACCTATTTGACACAAAATGATAATTAATAAAAACACAAACATGCGTGCATCTCAAACGCATATATTGACACGTGACAATTGAATTAATTTGTTTATAAACTCTATTCAAATAATCCCAAAGGAATTTTAAGAAAACAAAGTATTATGTTTAAGTTAACCCACCCCCACCCCACTCCACCCTTCTTCTTTCTTTTTTTCCGGCGAACTTATTTTCCTTTTCACTGTTACTCAGCTATCAGTAAACCATTGCCTCTACCCTCCTCCTTCTTCTCCGTCGGATCTTACTTTCCTTTCTACTGGGCTGCTGCGACTTCAACTGCCCGTAAATTATCGCCTCCACCCCTTTCTCGAATCTCATCCCTTTCACCAATCCCCGACACCAATAATATACTATTGATCCTTATCTAAGTTAACCCCTCATTCACCTTTCATAGCGTTAAAACCTTTCACTCATTTCATCTTCTTTCCACCAGTAGTCATTTATCACAATTACAAGATAAAAAAAATTATCGAGAAAAATAATCAACCTTGCTAACGGAAACAATGGAGCTTCGCCGGATTATTTGAGACTTAAATTAGATCTTCATGGAAAAAAGAAGAAGGAAAAAACAGAAAAGAATTGGAGAATCGGAGAGGGTGAGAGGTGGGGGGTGGGTGGAGCTGTGTAAAGAATGATAAATAGTTCTAGGGAAGATGGAGGAGAAGATAGAAAACGTTCCTGCCCTTTTAAATTAATTAATTAATTATTATTATTTATTAATTAGATGTATAAGTCGAAAAGAAAAAGAAAAAATATATTTTCAAATTGCTTTACGCGCTTAAGAAGGGTGAAATACACCCTTTTTACCATGTCAGCCTTTTGTGTCTAATAGGAATCACTTTTGAACATATAAGGTGTTCAATAGGTACAAGGCTTGATAGAGGTGTCTAAGTAAATATGTGGACAACTTTTCATTTGGCTATAGATTTTCCAAGTAATATTTGGGGGGAAATTTGGCAAATAATGTTTGTCCATACAATTTGTCATTATTTGGCAAATATCCCAAATTCTCAAATACTAGTTTTTTCTAGTATTTGGGCCAAATCTCATTATTTGGATCTATTAAAAATTTAAATTTTACACCAAACTTTTATCTTTTACAAAAACACCATCTATAATAGTTGTTTGCGTTTTATTACATAATATTTTACGTGAACACCAAAGTAGTGATGAAATATTTAGTGAATATGAAAGTGATGATATGGTTGTTGATGAAAATGATGAACAATCGGCTCAGGGTAACAAAGTCATGTGCTTTGTCTACTTCACGATGTATGGAATGATGTTTGTTGCACTCACTCCAAACTACCACATTGCTCCAGTGTCATGGACACTACTTGTTATTTGTTGCAACGATGATCCAATTGACTTGTAATACAAACTTATGATTAGTTTTGATAGTTTTTAAAACTTATGGGTATAAATCATATTTTTCTAAAAAAGTGAAATATGTTTCCCAAATAATATGGCTAAGCACATGGTGTAATTTCACCCAAATAATATTTGTCAAGAATATTTGGAAATCTATGGTCAAACTTAAGGAGCTCCATATGACTTAAGCCATTATAATAAGTAAAGTAAATAATTTGTTCAGATAATTAAGGCCATGGCCGATTATATTGTAAAGAATTACAAAAAATATAAGTAAAATGATACTGAATAAATAGTAAAATCATCACTTATCACTAGTCCAACCAACTAAGGTAAATCACTTTGCGAAAGTGATGCAATAGTCTAACTCAACACAATTTGATCTTGATGAACGCAATGTTAAACATATATAAAGGACAAAAGGGAGTTGTTCTGATGATAAACATCTCTCACTTCCAATCTTAAAATTGTGAGTTTAAATTGCGAAGGAAGCAAAAATGTGAGAACTCATGAAAAGAGGGTAAAATAAATAAATAATAAAAACCACATACAAATGCATCACTTTTTATTAGATATTTAAATTAAGAGTTGTTCCTATTAAACATTTACAATATTCAATATTTTAAAAAAATTAGACACATTTTGCTGAGCTGACACATATGATGAGTTTCACCTAATATAAACGTGTGATAAGCCATTTCTTTTTTTACTTTCTGAGTGTGTTTGGTATGAAGGAAAACATTTTCCAGAAAATGTTTTTTCAATCTTCTCATGTTTGGTTGGGCTAAATGTTTTGGAAAATATTTTCTAAATCAACTCATTTTTCTCAAATTTAAGGAAAATGACTTTCCTTCTAAACTTAAGGAAAACATTTTCCAAAACTCTCTTCCAACTTCAAATTACAATTATTTTTTTGTTGAAAAAATCAATTTATTTTGTCCCTACCCTCAAACCACCCCCAACCAACCCCCCACCAATTTTTTTATTTTTTTTAAGCTTGTTTTTAAATTCAATTTTTTTACCCCACCCTCACTCCTACCCCCACCCCCTCTCAAAAAAATATTAAAAATTGTTTTTAAAAGATATTTCTAATTTCAATTTTTTATTTTTTTTACCCACTACCCTCCCCCCTCCCCCATCAACCCCTCTATCAGCAGAAGAACTCGAATTTGCAGAAGAAGAATGGAAATCGAAACCCTAAAATCTCAGAGAAGACGAAGGGCTAAACGAGAGAGATGTGAGTGTGTGCGTATCTGGAAAAAGAAGTAATTTAGTTGATTTTTTCTTTTATTTTGTTGATATATATATACTGTATTAACTTTCCAGAAAAACAGAAGAAAATCACGTGCACCTTATTTATCTAAAATTTGAGTTTGAATTTAAGGATAATTTAACATTGTTTGGTCCCTCAATTATAATAAATTTTAATTTTGTTCTTATAATATGAAATATTAAATATATTTAATTTTTAATTAATTTAAATATATAATTTTAGGCCCTTATGAAAAAAAAAAGTTTTAGAGTTTGTTTGGATTGATTTATTTTAAGTACTTTTAAGTTAAAATAGTTTTATAATATTTGTTAAGAATAAAAAAATATTTTTAAGTTACACTCAATCAAAAAAAGACACATTTCTAACAAAAATAGAACACGTCGAATTTTGAAAAACCAATATTTGTTCTGGTATTCTTCATCATCTTCTTGTGTGTTCTTGTTCGAGTGTGCAATTTTAATTCAAAGGTTTAAGAGAAAATCCTTCAGATTTGTTATAACTTTAGCTAAAGATTTTTCCACGAGTCAAAGACAACCCCAACATTAATTTCTCAACATTTTATCAAATCAAGTAACTTATTTTGAACTTTCAAACTTCTAAAAGATACCAGTAACGATATTTTGTTATCAAATAAAGAGCACGGTCTTACTTTAATTTCAATTAACAAGAACAATTGTTTGTAATTGAGGAAATGGTGAGAGCACAACAGTGACGAGAGTGGAGGCAATGGCGGAAATGGAGGTAGATAGAGGGTGTGTTTGGTATGAAGGAAAATGTTTTCCTGGAAAACAAGTTGATTTTTGACTTATTTTCTCATGTTTGGTTGGTGAGTAGAAAATATTTTCCGGAAAAGATTTTTAGTGTTTGATTTATGAATGAAAAATATTTTTGAGAAATATTTTTTATTTTTACTAGAGTAGAAAATAATTTTTGAAATTGAAATAGTTTTTAAAAACAAACTTAAATTGTTTTTGAGGGGTGGGGGTGGGGGGTGGTGGGTGGTAGGGGGTGGGTGAAGGGGGGGTCGAGGGTAGGGGTGAAAAATTGAAATTTTAAAGTTGAAAATATTTTTGAAAAACAAACTTAAAATTATTTTTTGGGGGTGGGGGGAGGCTGGTAGGGGTGGGTGGGTGGGGGTCGAGGGTAGGGGTGAAAAAATGAAATTGAAAATATTTTTTAAAAACAAACTTGAATTTTTTTTTTTTTTGGGGAGGGGGGTGGGGGGCTGGTAGGGGGTGGGTGGGTGGGGGTTCTAGGGCTGAAAAAATGAAATTTTGAAATTAATTTTTTTTTTAAAAACAAACTTAAATTTTTTTTTGGTGGGGGGGGGGGGGGGGGGGGTTAGGGGTTGTGCTCTCACCATTTCCTCAATTACAAACAATTGTTCTTGTTAATTGAAATTAAAGTAAGACCGTGCTCTTTATTTGATAACAAAAAATCGTTACTGGTATCTTTTAGAAGTTTGAAAGTTCAAAATAAGTTACTTGATTTGATAAAATGTTGAGAAATTAATGTTGGGGTTGTCTTTGACTCGTGGAAAAATCTTTAGCTAAAGTTATAACAAATCTGAAGGATTTTCTCTTAAACCTTTGAATTAAAATTGCACACTCGAACAAGAACACACAAGAAGATGATGAAGAATACCAGAACAAATATTGGTTTTTCAAAATTCGACGTGTTCTATTTTTGTTAGAAATGTGTCTTTTTTTGATTGAGTGTAACTTAAAAATATTTTTTTATTCTTAACAAATATTATAAAACTATTTTAACTTAAAAGTACTTAAAATAAATCAATCCAAACAAACTCTAAAACTTTTTTTTTTCATAAGGGCCTAAAATTATATATTTAAATTAATTAAAAATTAAATATATTTAATATTTCATATTATAAGAACAAAATTAAAATTTATTATAATTGAGGGACCAAACAATGTTAAATTATCCTTAAATTCAAACTCAAATTTTAGATAAATAAGGTGCACGTGATTTTCTTCTGTTTTTCTGGAAAGTTAATACAGTATATATATATCAACAAAATAAAAGAAAAAATCAACTAAATTACTTCTTTTTCCAGATACGCACACACTCACATCTCTCTCTTTTAGCCCTTCGTCTTCTCTGAGATTTTAGGGTTTCGATTTCCATTCTTCTTCTGCAAATTCGAGTTCTTCTGTTGTTTCAATGGAGTTCGATGGTGGTCGAAAACGAGGAAGGCCACATGGACCTATGAATGGCAATGGTGGATTCAAGAAATCTAAGCAAGGTAACTGTTTTGGCTATACTGTTCTCTACATTTCATACTCATTTTCTAGTTTTTGTTTTAGTTGCTTCTTATTCGCTTAGTTATTTGTTTATCTATATCTGCTGTCAAATTTAGGTTTTGCTAATTCTTCTTCTCCTTTTTTTTTTTTTTTTTAATTTGATGGTAATACATATCACTCTTTGTTGTTTTTATTGCTTTCTAGTGGTTTTTCACTTGGTTATGATTTTTGGTGGTTTTTCCTTTGCCTTTTCATTACTGTCATGTGTATTAATAGGGCTCATTTCGGCTTATATATTTTGTTGTCAGATGTGGTGGATGAAAATATCTAAGTAGTGGTTGTAACTTGTTAATATAGTTTGATAGAGAGAAATGCCACATCAAAGTGTTAAGTTTGAATAGTTAAATGAATTTAGATTTTGGAAGTTCTAAATCTGAGTGAGTTTCTTATAAAGTATGGTATTTAGGAGAACTTGCAAAGTCAAATTTGAATCGAATGTAGTAAAATATGTTATCATGATTGAGCTGACAAAATTTTGTTTATATGTAAGCAAGAAGGAGAACTTAATTCCTTCTTGCCCTATTGTATTTTAACCTTCCCAGAAGTTAGGAATTAGTATTTGGTTCTGTCTCTTCAGTAACTCTTGATGGAGTACCACTACATTGTGGAAGTTGCTTATAAAACATGGTCTGTTAGATGGCACTGTATTTGACTTCGAATTCTCTTGTGACCAGTTTGTGTTGGTAAATTGCCGTGAAATATGTTCTGTGTTCACCTTTAATTGAATTAAAGTTTGAAGAGTTCATTTCATTTTTTCCCTGCGAGTTTGAAGGGTTGAAAACTTGTTAACAAGTGGAAGTTCTTGTTTCTGGAGAAAGATAAAATCTGGTCATACAATACTTCTAAGGTTTACTGGAGAAACTTAAGGAGTTAGTTGAATTTGTAATGCTTTTCATCATTGTTTATTAACTCCAATGTTTTATATTGATTACAAAAAGTAGAACTTGGCGATAATGTAAACTAGTGAAAAATGACTTGTAGATATCTTTCAAATAGAAGGTTAAAAACACAAATTTATCTGTAAAACAATTGATTAATGTTATGCAACAGAACTGGAGTCAATTCCAACTGGTATAGGAAGCAAATCGAAGCCGTGCACTAAATTTTTCAGGTTCTAATCTTAACTCCTCTAAAATATAAGTATTTGAAGTGTAGTTTATTATTTATTTCTAACTTCTCAAATTGTAATCAAGAGTATTTTTGTAGTTATTCCAATTATTCAAATCCATTTGGACTAATGTTTTGGTCATCTAAAGTTGTGTTACAGGGATAATAGTTGTTAAGTTGAAAACAGCTGTTGAAATGAAATGGGATGATTTTGAGAAATGTTGAATTAAAAACTTGCGCAGGTTATGTAATGAAAAAACTGATTAGCGGGGTAAAACTTCTATCTCATCTGCCTTTACATAAACCAGTATAATGATTGTGCTACACTCGATCACGTTGACAAGCAAATGCAGCGCTAATGTTGCTATATAATTTTTGTGAGTAACTTCGGTGAAATTATTTAGACGAAGTGGAATATTGATGAATTGGTGAGAATTGGTGAGCCGCAATCACTATCGTTCTTGTATTCATTAATGTTACACAAGTAATTCACTGCTTCTGTGTTTGACATGCCTTCTGCTTCATGACATGCTTTCTCTTTGGGTCTTTGGATCTCAGTCTAGTATCTTAAAGCCTTCAATGCACCTTGGTTGAAGCACAATAAAGATAAACAAGGTGGATAAATGTACATGCCACTAAGTATGAATTATGAGAATCCAATAATTAGGTTCATTCTTCACTACTTTAGAGATTCTTTCATGTTGGACACAAAACTTGTGTTTTGTGATCATTCAAGTAAATTACGAGCCACTTTTACTGCCTCTCAAGAATCACTCATCTTGTGAGCAAACATTTTTTAACACATTTATATTTAGAAATATCGTTTAATTAAAAAGCCATCTCTTTGTTGCTTAAATCGAGGGGCCTACAATTCATGGGCGAGGTAGTGTGCTTCACTTAAGTGTCCACTTCAAAGTTCAATCAATGAGGCGCAAAGTAATTCCTATGAGAAACAATCTCTTCTTTGGATATTTTGAGGAGTTGGATTAATATCTACGTCATTGTATGTAAGATGTTGAAATTAATTATTTTAACTGAATTTAGTTATTCTAGAACTTAATTCATGTTTGTGTGGTACTTTTTTTTTGGTTAATCATGTGCTTCATGGTAAAGAAGTATGTGCTTTACTCCCCCCTTTTTGCTTCAAGCCCCATGAACCTTGTTGCGTGTGCCATGTGGTGCTTTTCACTTTTTAAAAACTGAGAAATAGTGTTTTATAAGTCTTCCCAGACTCACCAAAGTTTTAAGAGGTCTAGTGTTTACTTTATCCTGTAGAATGTCAAAATGTCTGATGTAGCTTTCATGTTTGATTAAAAGTGTCTCAAGCATGTTCAAGATGACAAAATCTTGAACCTTCTCAGAAATGATCATCCTTCTCGGTCGACTTCACTAGCTGCCTCCCAACTTCTTTACATTAATGTGTTCATTCTAAACCTTTTGCTCTTGGCATACTAGATCCTGGTTTGATGATCTTGTTTCTTGGGACGTTTCTGGCTAACTAGTTAAGAGAACTACTTCTTCAAAGAGTTCTATGAATGGATGGGGTTATAACTTCAAAGGAAAAAACATGACTTTGGTTTTACTGTTACTTGTTTTTCTTTTTGATATCAACATGTTTAATCCAAAGTAATGTGACCCCTACCCGTTGGTTTGAAAGGAATAAATTCATTGGTTAAGTTGATTCTTTTAGGTACCTATTTTTTCTACAAGACTAGGCGTGATGTAACACTGCTGGTGATTTTTTTTTTTTGATAATCGTATCATTGCTGGTGATATTTGGCATCGTTAAATTTTTGGTCTATGCATCAACGGACACGAGGATGTTATTTCTTAATTCATCAGTTATTTTTGAGATGGAAAGGAACAAAATATTCCTTACTTTGTTCCTTGTTGAAGGTGGCCAACATATATTATAATAATGTCAAGTGACAAAACATAAAATAGTACGGATTATTCAATCATCCAAATATAACAACATAGAAATAGAATAGTATACTACTTCCTCCACCCTACCCCAACTCTTAAAGTTTGCATGGGAAGATCACAAGATTACCCTACATGGCGAAGGGAGCAGTTTTCGCTACCTCGACCACTATGTTCCAGTTTCAAAAAAAGAAGCGAGATTACTGTAGGCATATTAACATCTAGGTCAAGAATTACTCCAATATAAGATAGCAGAACTACAAACATTGGTTCATATGTTCAGTTCTTTTTGATGAGTCTACTTACTAGAAGAATTTACGTGGAAGTTTGAAGATTAGGATTAAGATGTTGCTCTATGGCTTTTGACCGTTCTATAGTTTCTGTTAAGAGGCATCAAAGTTAATTGTGCAAGATGATTGTGAGGTCAGACATATTTTATATGGTTGAGAATGTAGCGGGAGTGTGAGTTCAAAATAGTTATCAAGGATTTTACTGGTCAAAACCTCACAGGTGCATTTTTGGTTGGAGGCTATGTTCACATTGGATCGCATATGGCTGTTTTTTTTAAAAAGAAATGCGGCCACATGGGTTTTTTTATTAATAAAAAAGAAGTCTAAAGAAGCTGCAAAAGGGAATCATATGTCCTTTTTATGGTAGCATGGGCTGAAGTTTTTCTATTTTAATTTTTAGAAGAGCGCCATTGATATAATCATGCTGGTTATTCACTTTATATATTAAAAAGGTTATAATCTCTCTGGTAAAATTTTTGGTGCTCTCTTCTCTATCAAAAGATGAGAAAAAATCCTAAACTAGGTGGGCTTTTATGAAGTTATCCATACTTGAGTTGTATTGCATATATGCCATGATTGCAAGTTTGCAGCAGTTGCGTTATATTGCATATATGCCATGTTTGCAAGTTTGCAGCAGTTTAGTCACATTGCATTTATGCCATGATTGCAAGTTCGCAGCAGTTTTATGAGCTTAAAGTTTTTGTTTGAAGATGCAAGAAATCTGACAAGGTGTTTAGGGTGGAAAGATTAAGTAGGATACTGGTTAGATTAGCTGGTAACTTGTCACGAGAACTTTGATGAACAATTTAAGATTCTGCTTTTGCTACGGAGCTGGTTAAAGCATAGATGGAAGTGTATATAATAGTTGGATTTACTTGTGTTTTAGAGGGTAGTCTAAAAGCTGCTGAAATACCCCTAGTTTATCAGTGACTACATTGAGACAGAAGTAATAAGCTTTGGCTTTTTCTCTGTCTACAGGCACCAAATTTGTGAGAAGAATTTACTGGTGCCTTATTTTGGGTCTATTGAAGAGTACATGCTTGACATGAACCAGGTACCATGTTTTGATATATTTCTTCTGTGGCTGTTTTGGTGAATTATGCTGTGTGCAAAAAATTGCCCTTAATCACTTGATGCATATTTTTTTGGAAAGGAAAATGTTACCAAATTCTTCTAAGTTAGATGATTGTTATACTCATGGGTAATTTTTGAAGGGGCAGGACATTCAAACTTGAAATTGTCCGTATAGGTAAAGTGCATGGTTTGGTATCTTTCAAAAGATAGAAAGAACACCAGTTTCTTGTAGTTGGCTGATTGTGTATGAGATGTTTGGTTGCTTCATGGCAATAAGATTTATATCTGTTTTTGTTGAACTGTTGGGAATAGAAAAATTGATAGGTGCAATTTTGAATCTTGCGTTGAAATGATGGGGAATAGAAAATCAGTTGGTGCAATTTTGAATCTTGCTGCGGAGTGTGTTTTCTCCAAGTCTGTTTTAACTGAAACATGATGATCTTGGAGATAATTTGACAATTGCGCAGAGTCAATTGTAGTGATCTGAACAGAGCTTCCCAAAAAAAGGGTAGTGATCTAAGAATAAATTATCGGATTGGATGACATTTCTGTCTTCTTTCTCCTTTTTGGTGCATTAAACATGCATGATTAATATCTGTGAAAAATCTTTTCTATCTATTCTTAGAATTGCAGATATTACTGTTGGTTGGAGAATTTCCTTTCAATTGAAGTTTGTACGACTACTTCTCCACGTTAGTTTCCTTTCCATTTGGTTATTTAGACCAAAAATCAAATGGAAAGAAGTGGCATGATATACTGTAAGCTAACATAAAGTTTAAGTTGACTCTAGATCCCTTTTTTGTGGTTTGCGGGGTTAGTGGTACCGAAAGACGGTGTTAAAAATGTATATCATGCGCTGAAGAGAAGTTTGCATACAATTTTCTTTGTATTGAAATCAGTCTAAGGTAGCATTTCAATCATTTAGTGGAAATTGGTAGAGAATCCTTGCCATGTTTTCCTGTACTTCGTTATTTTTCGAATATCATGATACTTGTGAAGTGATCCCCTTTAGACACTGTAAAGGAATTGATGGGTGTATCTTTCAAAAGGTAGAAAGATTTCCTTCTAGTTGGTTGCTTGTGTATTAAGACATTTGGGTGCTTCTTAGAAATGGGCTTTGTATCAGACACCTATTCATAAGGTAGGGAGCCTCCCTTAGGTGATGAGATTTTCCTACTCGCAACGATGTGAGAGGATGCCTTCATACTTGCTTCAAATTGAAAATGCTTAAGGAGGAGCTGAAGGTGTGAAACAAGGATAACAAGGGCAATTGGAAACAGAAGGAGATTCTAAATACATTGTCTGTATTAGAGTCCATACAAGATCTGAGAGCTTAACCGTGGATGAAATGCTGCAGAAAGTTCACTTGGCAATTGAACTTCAAGAAACAGTTACAGAATGAAGAGATAAGTTAGATAACATGGAGAGTGGTTGAAGTGTGGATAAGAACACTAAATACTTCCACAGAATGGCTACAACACATAAAAGATTCAATGCCATTGATGTCTTACAGGTAGAATGCAGCACTATCACTGACCCTGAACCTGAAGATATCAAATCACACATTCAAGACTTCAATCTCAAATTGTATAAGGAATCAAAAATCTGGATACCTGATTTTATTGTGCAGGATGCCCCAGTTTTTTGTGAGGAGGAACAAGACAAAATGCAAAGGGAATTTGAGGAAGAGGAAGTCCTAAATTCTGTTAGATTGTGTGCAGGTGATAAGGCTTCTGGGTTTGATGGCTTTCCTATGTGTTTATCAGTCCTACTGGGAGTTTCTGAGGGAGGATGTAATGGCTAATGAACACTATCCACATCTTTCATTCCCACCAAGTCTTTGGAAAAAGCTTTAATGCCAGTTATGTGGCCCTCATTCCTTAGAAGACTGGTGCAATGGAGCTTAGAGATTACAGACCAATCAATTTGGTTAGTGGGGTGTATAAAATCATAGCCAAAACGCTGACTGAGAGACTGATGATCAAATATAAAGTGACATTCATCAAAGGGAGACAAATAATGGATGTAGAACCCATTGCTAGTGAGTGTGTGGACACTAGATTGAAAGGGGATGACCCAAGCATCATGTGCAAAACTGTAAATTGGATATAAAGAAGGCATATGGCCATGTAAATTGGGACTTCTTGCTTGGTATTCTTAGACAGATGGGGTTTGATGACATGTGGCTAAGATGGATGGTTTTTGTATTAAAGCTGTTAGGTTCTTCATACTTGTCAACGGAGAACCTTTGCCTTTTTGCTTCAGAAAGGGGACTTAGCCAGGGTGATCTCTTATCGCCTTTCCTTTTCATCATAGCCATGGAGGGCCTTAATAGTATGATGAGGAGAGCCATTAGCAATAGCCTGGATTAAGGGCTTTAAAGTCTGTAACAGGACATGAGAAAAGATGGAAGTCTGCCAGTGCCAGTTGCTCTATGCAGATGATACAATGGTCTTTTGTGAGGCAAAGGCAGAATAGATTACCTTTATCAGGGTCATTCTGATTGTTTTTGAAGCAGTGCCTAGGAAAAACAGCCTCTTTCCCATCAAAGTTGTGAATCAGATTAACGTAAGGGCTGGGCATAAATATCGAAAAAGCGAAAAATCGGACCAGATCAAAGACAATTAACAATATTCAGAAAGTCAGAGACAGATATATTGCAACCTTTTACTTTTGGTTTAAAGAATCTTGTAAGCAAAACATTAGTAGATTCCTTGGGCTCTTTGCAAGTAATCTAGGTTCTTTTAGCAATTTTTTGAAAGTTTTTAGCATGTCCTTAATGTTGAGCAATACAACTTCACAATTTTCAAAAAAAGAAAATAATTGCAAATATTTTGTTCTTATTTGAGGAATTTCCCCTTCAACTGTGGTTTGCACCGTTCAATTCATTTCAATTTCCTTGTGATTCAGTTATTTAAAACAAAAATTGAGTGGAATCGATAGGCTGTGCCTGTTACACTAAATTTATTTTCTTCTGTTATTATTGAATACGTTATGAACGTTGGAACTAGTACGAACTGTGGTTTTGTTGTTATTCATTATAAAATGATGTGTTTGGTGATATGTATGAGAGAATTACATTGTTAAGACTGATGGATGAGGAATCCTTAGATCTTAAAACTAGCAGACCACATCACATAGTTTGGTTACCTTGTATAAAATCCAGCATAGTTGTTATGTTTGGTCCTTTTTGCTGTTTCTAAATGATACCCGCGTAAGTTATAAGGAAATCTTTGTATTATTTTATGCAGGATAGAATGTGAAATAATAATGTGTATCAGTAATAAATGGATTGAATTTACAAAATGATATGAATACCCTTTGTCACTTCACACTTAAAAATTAAACAAACTCTTTCTATATATAAAAAATGAAAACACATACATTAAATAATACAATATACTAATTTTTAATCCAACAAACCAAACATTCATTAAGAACTAATCCTTGCATTGTAATCCCTGCATAACTAATCTTTGCATAACTAATTCCTGCCTAATTGATCCTTGCATAACTAATCCCTGCATACTTTGTGTTTGGACCAAACCACTCCTAATTAGATTGTATTGAAGGTGTTAAAACTTATAAATCTCCCTTTTCAAGTTGGAAGTCTTTACATAGTTGGACGATTAATCAGTATAATATGTGTTGATCTCGGATATGGAGATGTAGATTTGTGGAGAGAAGTGCAAGATTGATTGTTAAGTTTTTTGGGGATAGTGTTCCAGCTTATGGTTACAGAAACAGTGTTCATCTGTTTTGATGTTCTATTACATTGATGCTCTGGAGATTACATCTGTCTTGCTACACTCAGAAACTATCATAATGGGTGATGAATTCTGTTTAGTTATTTCACGCAGTACTACATTTACTAGAGATTTGGAATGAGAATGCATTACTAGAAACTTCGGATGATGGTGCATTCACAGGGACTTGGAATGAGGGATACATTCATAGATACTATGTGAAAAAATGTGACCCTGTTATTGCCTGTTGGTGGAAAATGACCATAGACGTGATGATTGACATTTTGCTATAAAGGTGTCAGTGGATCGCTCCTGCTTTTGGTTCATGGGTAGAGATTTGTCTCGAGGAATAAATTTTGGATGTTGGATCTTGAGTCTCTTCTTTTGTTTGACGTGATATGAACAGATGACTTTTCAAGGAGATGAGTTGTCAATGACAAAACTTCAATGCCTGTTGTTGCAAGGTGTTCTCTTTCCGTCCGCATGGGACTAACCTAGAGCCACTTAATTTATACCAAGATGGTTATTTTTCTGATTTCATGCTGCCTGTGGATGTTGATGGTTGTTCCACTGTAAAGTTAGTTGTATGAAAAGAGAAATCCATATCCATTCCATTTGAGTAAAAGTTCCCAACAGGAAATTTCTTTTTTTTTTCCCTCTTTTTTTTGGTTTGGGTTGTGGTGATTTATATTAGATATAGTCAAACTTTTCAAGCATTTTGATCTGAGAATTGTCCCTTTTAAATACTTTATGCTGTAAATATTTGCCGTTTTCAGTTTCTAGTGTCTATTTCTTAGTTCAAGATCCCTCTTTACAGTCTTACTAACTTGAATCAAAGCATTAGTAGATTTGTTCCGCCCAAATAGGCTAAATTGCTAAATTTTGCTGATCCTTAAATGATGTCATAAGAAATGAACTTATGTTTGATGCTCAACGATGTCTTGGGAAATCATCTTTCAGAGACTTAGCTAGGAAAATTGCTAGAAGATAATTGTTCACTTAATTTTATTGTTTTGTGTTTCTTGTCAAAAGCTTGCAGTAGGGAATACACAATGAGTGGATTTCAAGAAGTATGCGTGGATATTTGGTGCTTATCTAATTAAAAAGCTGTTTGATCACCTTTGGTTCATGTGATATTATTCTGTTGATTCCTATCAACTTTCTTATCCAATTGATAAGCAAGGTTGGGCAATCTCAAATATGACTCGCAAAAGCATTCTAGGACTCATAATTTGAGTAGTAATGTGCACTTACCCTTATAGTAGGTGACCTATTGAGGTTTGGCTGATCTCGATATGTGCTGTTCTTTCTGGTTTATAATGTTCCAGAGCTTGGATTTTGGCCATTTTAGTTGGATGACCATGTTTTTTCATGACAACAAATGGGTTTGTTTGGAATGTTTTTATTTGATGGCTTAATCAGGAATTTAACAAACAGAGCTGTTATTGATTTAGGCTTTTGCTGTTATTGATCTTCTGCTGATAAGTTCGATCCTAATGGTTCATGATGCAACTTTGTTTTTTTCCAAATTTATAGTTGTTTAATGTGTTGATTTAATTCTTCTGCAGTTTTTCGGGATGTCCATTTGGTGAAGGATGCCACTTCTTGCATTATGTGCCTGGAGGCCTTAAAGCTGTGACTCAGATGCTTGGTAGCAACCCAGCGCTTCCAGCAGCTCCTAGGAATTCAATAGCTCCACCATCTTTCCCTGATGGATCATCTTCTCCAGCTATTAAGACTCGTCTATGCACCAAATTCAACACTGCTGAAGGTTGCAAATTTGGTGACAAATGTCGTTTTGCACACGGGGATTGGGAGCTTGGCAGGCCAGCAGCTCCATTGCATGAGGAGTCCCATGGTATGTTCCAGATGCATGGAAGGTATGGTAGTCGACCAGAGACCAATCCTGCTGGCCTTGGAGCAGCTGCCAGCTTTGGGTCCTCTGCGACTGCTAAGATTAGTGTAGATGCCTCTCTTGCTGGACGTATTATTGGGAAAGGTGGCGTCAACTCAAAGCAAATCTGTCATATGACCGGAGCGAAATTCTCCATTAGGGATCATGAGTCAGATCCTAACTTGAGGAACATAGAACTTGAAGGTACAATTGATCAGATTGAACAAGCCAGTCGAATGGTTCGTGAGCTTATTCAGAGTGTTACAACATCAGCAGGACCCCCGATGAAGAACACCAGCTCATCCGTAACAAGTAACTATAAAACAAAAATTTGTGAGAACTTCACCAAGAGTTCGTGCACTTTTGGAGAGAAGTGCCACTTTGCACATGGAGCAGAAGAATTGCGCAAGTCAGGTCTGTGAGCTTTGCTGTATTTTACTGTTAGGGAGCATATCTCCCCCTATGGCTGTTATCTCTTTTTCTTTGGGTTTGTGAAAATAGTAGATAAGGTGTTTTTGCCATTAGAATATCTCGGTTTTGAGGCATTTATTTGTTGAGATCCTTAATGTGCTCGATATCTCTCTTGGGTTCGTTATTTATCATGTTTGCTGTTCCTTTGATCATAACCTATCTACAGTGTTGATATGGATTTTAAAGTTTCGTCGGAACTTTGTCAATCCGGAACAAATATGTGATGTGTGTGTTATTCTCTTGCTTATATCAACCCAGACTGCTGGAAAATTATCTCAGCCGCTTCGTCATGTTTCAAACCTTTATTTACAGATGCATTGTTTGCTATTTACTACGTTTTATGGAAAGCATGGGATTGGGAACAGATGAGAAAGCATACATCTGATCGAATTAGATCCGTGAAAGTCTTAACACCAGACTCAAAATACTTTTCTCAATAACTTTTTTTGGCTTTATCAAAATACTTGGTGCCTCTCCATTGTTTCTTTCAACTATCAATCATTCAAAATACTTCGCATGTTCTTTGAGAAATAATAATTAATGTTGAGATTAAAATAGAAAAAAGTGATATCTTTTTTTGATATAAACATAGGCTTCTACAATTTTAACTTTAAAAAAAAGATTCTACAAAGATTGCTTGTATGTTATTTTTTCAGATCTCTTAAAAGATAAATATGTAGTGTTCCCTTTGTCCCTAATTACTAGTTCACTTTTTCTTTTTTAGTTGTTCTTAATTACTTGCCCATTTTGACAAATCAAGAAATGATAATTTTTTTATATCTATTATATCCTCAATTAATTACTTTGAAAAATATAGAATTTCTTGAAAATCTTTAGTTTTTAATGCACCTACGTCATAATTAATAGGGGTAAAATGATAAACTCACTATGTTAATAATTGTTTACTTAATAAGTGTGTCAATTCAAAAGTGGACAAGTAAGGATAGAGTATAAAATAAAGTGGTAGGAGATGAAAGCATTGTTATCCAGTGGATTTTGCAAACATGTTCTTTTCTCGATGCCTATACACCTTCTTGCAGGGATTCCAGTTTCAAAGGGAGTTCTTGACCAGTTGGAAAAAATGTTAGCTAACTTTTGGGGAGGCGGTGATGAAGACAAAAGAAAGCTTCACTGGATATTTTTTGATACTATGTGCCTACCTATTCAGGAAGGGGCTTTGGGTCCTCCTACTACAAGACATTTTCAAGTACTTGTTAAAAAGACGTAAAGTAGCAACAAATTTGGTAAACGGTACAAAATGAATTGAGCGACTCCCAAAGTATGAAGGAGGATACATATGGTATGAAGGAGGATACATATGAGCGTAAAGTAGCAACAAATTTGGTAAACGGTACAAAATGAATTGGGCGACTCCCGAAGTATGAAGGAGGATACATATGAGTGGTTCATTTTATTTTCTTATGGAAAAATCCTTTTGGTCAGAAAATTTGGCCAGAATGATATTTTATCTATATTATTTTATCTTTTTAAATATTTTTACCCTTTTAACTTTAATATCTTTTAATTAAAAAATGAAAAAAAGATCAGTTTATTTTAAAATTAAAAAAATATCATAAACTTTTTAAATTTTTGGCCAAATTTTCTGGCCATTTAGCATTACTCTTTTCTTATTTCCTTCCAATACAATTCATCATTTTCGTGACTCTTCGTAGGCTTTAACAAATTTGGTGTCTTTCGCGTTTTATTCAAATTCCCAATTGTAACATTCCTTTTCTACCTCGGAACGCACCATTCTTAAAGATTAATGCACGTTCACATCTTCTTAATCCAAAATGGTTGGGAAAGGAAACGTTTTTTTTAATATATTTATACATGAATAAGGTAATTATAGGTAATTTATTTAATTGCATTAATAAAAAATAAATAACATTTTAAACTAAAATAATTAGAGTGTACCGTCTATAACTTAATTTTTTCTGTGACGGGGTTGATAATTAGGGTCACTTCAGCAAGATAAAGGAGTGAGAGAATGCCCTTAACTTTTAGTTTCAGATCTAAATTAGAAGAAAAATCTGCACTTTCCCTTTGTTTTATATTACTTTCTTTTATTCTAATTTATGTTGCACACCTTTTTCATAAAAAAATGATTCCTTTTTATAATTAAAAATAATATAACTTTGTGATACTTTCTCTATTTTAATTTATGTTAAATCGTTTGATTTGGTTTTAAAATTTGTGACAAAAAACGTTTTTAATTATTTGTGTGGCGATAAATTATTTTAGTTAGGATATAAGAATAATTTTAAAGTTCAATTCAATTATAGAAATGTATATTGAAAAAAAGTGTGCCTTGAAATAGAGGATGTGAGAGTATTATTTTATTAATATATATACTTAGATGGGATGTTATTAAATATTATTTGTTTTACATTATAAATTTCAAGATGTTTTTCTCTCTTACAAAAACATGGGTATCTAGTCAAAGACCATGTAAAATGACACTCAAATCACTATAATAAATAAAGAATTAAGCCGCAATAATAAATATAAGCATTCATAACTAATCGCCTATATAAATGTCGTTAAAGAATTTAACAATTCTGAATATAATAACATTAGGCAAAATATTTTTATGATAATAAATATTGCAACTAAATAAAAATTCTATAGCCATTAAATATCTCTTTTCTGACATTAAATGAATATTGTCATGGTTATAATAAAAGGCTCTGGGCCACAAAAATTTTGATTAAAAAAAAAAAAAAAGAATATTGTCATGGACAATGTTAACACTGAAGTTTCAAGGTACTTTGGTAGAATTTAGCAAGAAGTGACAAAACAGCTAAAAATACATATAGGCCTACATAAACAAAGACTTTCAAGTTCCAACTTGTTTATCTATTACTCAAAGTCAACAAAGACTTAAGAAAGAGTAATAAAAATAGTGCCTTCAACTACAACTTGAACACAATTATTTTCTTCATACAATGTCTTCTACTTGTACTCAAAATTGGAAGAATGATGTTTTCTTGAGTTTTAGAGGTGAAGATACGCGTAAAACTTTTGTTGGTCATCTCTACTATGCTCTAAAACAAAAAGGAATTCAGACATTCAAAGATGATGAAAGATTGGAAAGAGGAAAATCAATTTCACCTGAACTTGTTAAAGCTATTGAAGAATCAAGATTTGCTATTGTTGTATTCTCTAAGAATTATGCATCATCCACTTGGTGTTTAGATGAACTTGGGAAGATCATGGAATGTAAAAAAGATTTTGGACAAACTGTGATACCTATATTCTATGATGTAGATCCATCACATGTAACTAAACAAAGTGAAAGTTTTGCTAAATCATTTGCTACACATGAGGAAAATTTGAAAGATGATGTTGAGAAGGTGTTATGCTGGAGGGATGCATTTCGTCAAGCAGGCAAAATAGCTGGATATGATTTGCCAAATGGCTACGACGGGTAATAGTTATTATCTCAAAAAGTTGCTTTCTTTGTTGAGAAATATTTGATTTAGTTGAGATAATAACTGTTAGTTGAGTGATTATCTCAGAAATCTGCTAATCTTTTTTTTTTGTTCATGTCAGTAAGTTATACCTTAACTCCAATAGTCATTCAGTAACGTTGGCTCAAACTCTGTATTTATGTAGTATATGTACAAATAATCTATTTTAGAACTCAGTAAATAAGAAGAATTGTAGTACAAAGCTCATGAACTCAAAATCCTGGCTTCGCTCCTGCCAATAGTTAGGGCAGACTATGATTTTCAGTATCGAGGGGATTCATCATTCGTATTAGGTATTTGACGACATAGAAAATTCACACTCGAGAAAAATATTTATGTAGTTTAGAGAGTATACTGGAGATATGTTCTTAATCAACCATATTTAATAAGTTATTAGGAAAGATATTTTAAGGCTTAGTTCATCATTGACTAATTAAATAGCTTCCAAGATATGTTTGAACAACACAACTATTACTTAAATCATATGTTAAAAGTACTAAAAGTAGTTATACTATTCCTATGCAATCTAAATGAGAGAGAAAGGGTAGAACTCAGAATAAAAATATGTTGTGTTGTGTGTTGGAGTATGAGTTTTTGTCTCCTTATATGATTTTGGGCGATCCTTAATTCATTAGCTAGTTTCGTAGTTGAGTTAGGCCTAAGTTCTATAATATTTGACGTGTGAATTCAATCATTTGCAGCCTGAGGAGCGGTGAGTGCGGTAGGATAAAATGGTATTTGAAACCAGGGTGGGAGGCCCTATGTAGTCTGTCTTTTCATGGGTGGTGGGCAGAGGAAAAATCCATTCATTAAACCTTTTGGAAATGGAGACGAAAAGTCGGGAGAGGAACCAAAGGGAGTATGTGAACAGAGAGATGAGAAGCAATTGAACACACTATGTCCATGTCATTTTCTGATTTCTCATGGTCTCAAAAGAACTAGAAATACTAAAATTATTAACATAACTTCCACATTAATGATTTTCTCAGGATTTTGGAAGGACTAGAAATGCTAAAATATAACGATAATGCGCACTGTTTGTGAAATGTCATTTCAAGTTGTTTTTGCAATTTCATGTACAGGCATGAATCTCTTTGCATTCAGCATGTTGTTGAAGGCATACTGAGTAAATTATGTCAAGTTATTTCAACCATTGAAAATGATTTGGTGGGGATGGAATCTCGAGTGCAGGAAGTAAGTTCATTACTAAGGATGGAAACACGCGATGTTCGTTTTATTGGTATTTGGGGGATGGGCGGCATTGGTAAGACAACAATTGCAAGTGCTTTGTTTGGCAAATATTCGGGCCAATTTGAAGGTGTTTGTTTTCTTGATAATGTTGCGGAAATGCAAAGGACACGTGGACTGCAATATCTGCAAGGTATTCTCCTCTCGAAAATCCTCAAAGTAAGTTTAACTATAGCAAGTGTGTATGAAGGCATGAGAATCATAAAGGAGAGGCTACGCTCAATGAAAGTTTTGATCATTCTTGATGATGTAAATCAAAAGGACCAATTAGAAATGTTAGTTGGAGGGCGTGACTGGTTTGGTATCGGCAGTAGAATTTTGATTACAACAACAGATAAACACTTGTTACATAATCATGTGGTGGATGAAGTGTATTCAGTCAACTTGATGACTCGCGATGAAGCAATAGAGCTATTCAGCCTACACGCCTTTAAGCAAAGAAT